TCACAAATGAGGACATACCAGAACTAAGAGCACTGATGCACCATTGCGTTTATCCTCTTTAACACATTTATATGGCCTTTTACCGAACACCTTAGAGAAAATCCCTGGCTAAAATAAAGCCTCCTGCCTGCGAGATACCACACGCATTATAAATAAAGTTCTTTCTCCCCTTGCAGTTGTTTGCATCTGTCACTTGTCCACCTCGTGTCAAGTATGCATCATACAAATAAAAGCTGTAACTTTTACAAATTTTATCAATATATAAATTTTGGAGCTTTTATAAATTTTATAAATTTAACAAATTGAAGGGCTTGAAAGCAGTGCTGTACTTCATAAGAATATGAGATGAGGAGGCATATATATGACGAGTGACACAGTAACGCTCATAGGCATATGTAAGGAGGCCTGTATAATTCATCCTTTTCTCAACTCAGGAACAACCCAACACCAAATTCCAAAGTCCTGCTACAAAGTGGAGGCATCAGAATACTTCACTGAAACAGAAGTAAACAGCTGTTTTCCCATGCTTCAAGTAACCAACTGAACACAGAGACTTGCAAGAGAAAGCGTTAAGCAGTGTTACATACAGGGGTAGGTGCCCGTATCTATCAAAATCCCATTACGCCTATTCATTTATTATAGCTAAGTGCTAATGACACATAAGTCAGAGTCGTGAGGCCTTTTGATATCAAGACATCATTTTAGCTTCACTGGCTGTTGTAGGCTTGAACAGTTGCTTAATTTCAATATGGACTTCAAATGTTCTTAGTCTGGCTTATGGGATGTCCAATACAGGGGCCAAGAGCTACCCTGAGTTAAAAGTAAAATGTATAACAGTGAACATAATCTTCATTAAAATGTTAAAATCACCATTGCTATTCTGGAATGGAAGGAGTAGCTATTTCCTGACCAGTGGTTTCTGATCCAGCCGCACTGGAGCAATTATCATTTGAGGTAGAAGAATACTGAAAATACTGTTGCACCTGCGCTTACCTGCAGCATCACAAAAAGTACACAAAGTACTCCCAATTCTTCTTTCACCAGATAACAACAATGGTTCTCAAACTGTCTGCACTCCCCCAGTTAAAAAAAAGTAAAAATATGTGACATATGAATGTCTGGGTTTTTTTCTTCTTCTCAAGCATATACACAGACATATCAAAAAAAAAGTTGCTTTCACCACTAATTGATGTTAAAATTGATACTAACTGAAAAAGTCTGAGATTATTTTTAAGGAAGTGTTTTTATAAATCGATACTAACGTTTCAGTATGGTTAAAAAAAACTGTTCAAAGTTAACCAGTTAACCATCAGAAGACCTAGCACCATCCAGTACCTCATTAACATTTTTTGGATTGCTCTTTCCATTTCAGATTTATTTACTTTTCTGGTGATTAAAATCAAACAAAACAACCAACCCATACTACTTTGCAGGTAGAAGTCCTTGGCTACCTTACAACTGCAGAGCAGAAAGATGAAATCATTTCCCCATCAGAACCAAAAACCATTATGGAATTGTGAGAGGAGGACCACCCCGAAGAACATAAGATTTCAAGTTATTATGCCTAGCAAAAGGAGATGTGACTAGTGCTAACAAGAAAAAAACAATATAATGCATACCTTCTTGCAGAACCTAATTCTCTCACACAATACAAGCAAAGATTAGAAACACAACGGAAATTATTTCATAGCATACTTCAGAGGTAATGGATGGAATACTTAACTCCATTTCGGGTAACTGACCAGTCACTTCCAGTCCAAATTTTTTTCTTGTTTTGACAAAGTGATTGTAATAAGGAAAACCCAAAGCCAGAAAAATCACATTAAAAAAAAAATACAAGTACTGTTTTTTAACCTTTGAAAAGCCTTGTTAAAGGGGGCTTAAATATCAGATATAGTAGCGATCAAGAATGTTTTAATGAGCTCCCAAAGTCACTATAAAGACAACAGAGTGCACACAATTTTTGAGCAACAAAATTTAAAAGGTTTCAACAGCACTACCTTAAAGCTGAGAATTTAATAGTTAATTTAATAGTTATGATGTCAGAAATCTTGACATCATTACAGTTAAATCAGAAAGCAACATATATCTGAACAACAAAGATCTGTTTGGAATATGCATCTTCTAGACAACAGGGAAGAGGTAAGAGTGAAAACTAAATTGAGATCCAGCACACAAATAAGATACATCAAATGACATTCAGGTGAACAACCTTGCTGAACATCCTCAAAATCTGTCAGATTTTTGGCACCAAATGTAAAGGGAATTCACTGTAGTACACATACATTTTAAAATAATACTGTGAACCAATCCTTGGCATTTGTTGTATCTACTTCATTTTATGTACAAGGTATGTATTTTTTCCCCAAATCATTACTGTATTTTTTTTTAAATCAAGCAAGAAATGGAAGAAGTTTACTAAGGAGATTACTTTCAGTTTTATAAAGAACATACAAAAATATTTTTACATATTTTAATAGTGTTAATAGCTTATTCCTTTCTAGTTCTAAACACATTCAAAACAGCAATAAAAGGAGGAGCACTAGTCTGCTCTGCCCAGATTGGTACCAGACAAGAGAAGCAGAAAAGACTATGCATGGAAAACTTGTAAGGATCAGAAAACTGACGTTTAATTGAATGTTGTAACTTAGTGACCAAGATACTCAGAGATCTTACACTCCTGAAAAAGAACACATCTGGAAGTAAACTCTCTAAATCTACCTACTCACATCAGATGATGCATTTGAACAGAGACAGAGTTTAAAAGCAGTATCCCACATTACCCACAATGTAACTGAAAACTCTATGTTATTTGAACCAATAATTCGAATGCACAGTTTCTTTCTAAGGAATGCATGTTTGACTTTGTTTTTCCCCACACTGCTGTTGCATAAAGGTCACAACTGTATAAAATACACAGGAGTGGGGACCATGATCCCATGCCGAGTCAGACAAAATCAATCCCATTCCCAGCTTTGTGAATGAGTTGCAACATGAGTAACAAGATTATTTTATCTTTTTTTTGTTCAGCTGTACAATGATACTTACCTACTTCACCAGGTTGTTGTGGGAACTAATGACGGGTATGTTAAGATTGAGGAAGCATCAGAAGCTGCTTCCATTTCTACAAAAATCTGTCCTACAGTAGCTTGACTAAGTTTTTCAGGACAACCATTATCTATCTTTTTTTATTTACTTGTACAGTTCCCAGAACAATAGGGTCTTAATCCTTGACTTGGACAGCTAGGCACCATTGAAACATAAATAATTAGCAAACAATATGAGTTGAGAGCTTTAGCGAAGTGTTATCCTTCCCAGAGCTCCAAGGCATAGAGCATTTAAATGACCAGAATTTAGCCAATGCAAAGGGAACTGGGGACAACGAACCATAGCCTTGGTTGCTTGCTAACAACTTTGGTGGCTTGTTCTTGAAAGAGCAGGGATACAAAAAAGAAGACTGATGGAATGCATATGTGAGAAGAGAGCCCTATTCAAAAGAGCATAGGGACTGCAAATACAGTTGCCTTTTGAGCAAGGCATTTTGGGCAAAAGCTTTTTATGTATTTGCCAGCTGTACCATATCTGCAAACTAAGGGCAAACACAGTAGGAAAAAATACGTGTTTGTTTTTGAGGTTCTTCTTGAGAAACAACACATAAACATGCAATTTGCCAAAAGAGATACCCATCAACAAGAAAGAAACAGTTGTATAATCAACAGTAGCTGCTGCCTCTTGAGATGTGCTCTATGCACATATATGCTGCCTTTATCACAAGTATGCCCATTACATTCAAGCTAGAGTCTCACTTAGAAGTATCAGCTGTGTGTTATCATACACACCAAGAACATTGCCCTGTTTCCCATCAGAAGTAAAAAGGTTGGAGCTAGTCCAATCACTTGAGTAGTTCTTCATCCTGGACAGCACTTCATCTTCATCATCTAAGAATAGCTTCAAGTATCAAGCATAAAGGGTATAACATGGAATTTGTGCCAATGTTTCTAAGTAAAACAATTACTGAACAATTAAGCAACTGTTTCTTCTTCCTTGCCTGTCCATGCATTTGTTCTGTTGTTGGTGACTTCTAAGCTATGTACTCTCCAAAGGTGGATATCAGTAATTTGGGCTTGTTTCCTCTAGAAATGAAAGACTGATGGGAAGCTTGACTGTCAGCATTACTGGCATGAAAAATAATTCCTTCCAAGTGACAAATGAATAAATATTCTGCTTCCAGTCAGTCTGGAAGATACCTGGAGGACAGACAATTTCTACAAGGTGATGAATGAAAAGGAAGTAGAATGCTGAGACGAAAGCCTGGAGTGTTTCCAGTAAACTTTGAATGCAGGGTGGGGCAAATGAAAGCAGTTTTCAAGAGGGATAAAGGCAAAAGAGTCAGGGTTTAATAAACTACCCACAATTTTTATTTTCTTAAGTAAAGATGATGTTAAAGCAATATATTAGGGAAAAAATGGATAATTACAACAGAGACTAAGTAAATATTATTTTTAGCCACTAATTAAAATATATACAATACATACACAACACAAATTAAACACTTACCTAGATGTATCAAGTTAATATTATCCCAATATTTTAGAACAGCCTCTTTCCCGTCATAATGTCATTATTACACTGTGCATCCAAAATTTTTTTATCCTGTTAGTCATCAACACATACTTAATACATACCTAACTTTAAACACATTAACCCACTCAAATAAGTAATCTATTTAATGTACAACAAAAATTAAAGCAAATCTTTCTTTCCAATAGTTTAGACCCCTCACCCCTTCTTGTATTTGAAAATCGAAAAACTTGAATAGATTAGAATGATAAAGCATCTTCATCGAAAGACTACAGAGAAGTAATAGGCATACAGTCTGATGTCATCCAAAATAGATGCTGAATCTCTAGTTTTGAAAGAAAAGAAATAAAGTTTGTCGCTTTTTTTTTTTTTTAACTAAAGCAAATGTAAAAAAGTCTTAGAAAGTCTCAAAGTCTTACCTGTTGGTATGCTTCGTAGATTATATCAAACAAGAAAGCCTGAGGCATTTCACTTGCTCTGTACCTGGCACGTTCCAATGAGTGGTCTAAACAGCCATCTGCAGCAGAGGCAATAACAGTAGAAACCAGAGGACGAATTGCTCCTGCTGCCTGTGGAACAAAACACAGAGAGAGGCCTAAATGCTGTTAATGTTAATGTGTATCAGATAGCTGCAGTCAAAAAAAAAGTAAGAGCTTTAAAATACATTTTCTACTTATTTATCTTTTATATATCTCATAATGCATAAGTCATAGTACTTAGTCTGTATGAGACATTTAACATGAATATAGCAACGGAAGACTGTATAAGTACACACTGAGGGCCAATTTACAAAAAATAAATAATAATCTTAAGTCCTTCATCTACTGCAAATACATACACAGATCTGAGATGCTCTTTCTTCAGACTTCCTTCTACATACATATTAGGTGGTTTCTGTGAGGACAGTTCTAGGCCTATTCAGATAACAAACAGCAGGAGACACACCTAAGAGGTCTTGACAATCTACAACTATTGCTTTTACAAATTTCAGTTTGGCTAAACTGATTAGAAATAAGCAATGAGAAAAGTTTCAGAAAATTGAGCTTGTTCCATGTTGAATTTACTGTGGGAAATACTAAGCAACCACCCTTACCAGTGAAGTGACGAGGAACACAGTATATACATCAGAAAGTATTCAATATCCAGCAGCACTGTGCCCCAGAACAGGTATTTAAATGCTGCCATTTCAGTTTTGGTTTTGCTTAGATTTGAAAACAATTAAACATATATCTTTTATCTTTTCACCAATATATAGTATTAAAGATCTGAAATAGAGCTCTCCTAGCTGGTTTTAGTAATTTTGATACCAGAAAGTTACCCACGCTTCATCAGTCACTTATGGCACAAATGCTCAGATGAACTTCATATGAACTAAATGCAAATAGGACACGAGTTGTTCATACAATAATGAAGAAAAGGATGCAATGACAGAACATTGCTCATCAAGTCACAGGGCAAAACCCATGTTCCCTAACTTCTATTCACTGAGAATGGCGTCCTTACACTATACTGTTTATTATCTATTTTTAAGAAAAATAAAATAGAATAATTGATGTTGTTCCAAAACATTTAAATTATCCAACATCTTAAAACAGTATACCTAGAAAACCACTCCCAATGGTGAATTCTGACATTTTTCACAGCAGCCACAGAAGATCTGAGGTCTAGTGAGCTTTGATACAGGAAAAAAAAAAAAAAAGGTCTCATCACATAGAGTAAGAGCACTGTTATTGTTGATTTCTTTTATCTTCTGTTTGCAAATCCTGCCTTCATACATATGAGTCCTGTCTATTCTTACAGGATTTCTGACCTCAGATAAGCATACAGTGGCAGAATGAGAAACCAGAAGTGAGCCCAAAGTTTTTTTTCTCTCAGAGAAGAAAGAACTATTTGTCTTCCCTCCTCCTTTCACACTACTGAACAATAAAACAAAGAGGAATGCAGTCAGTGTGTTGAGCACTTTATGAGCTCTAAAATACAGCTTCTAAATTCATTCTTTTACAGAATGAGGACAGAGATGTGAAACAATTTCTTATGCCCAAGGAGTTCTGATATGCATGAGCTACCAGGGCAGGGAGAGAATCCTATGACAAGAAATATATCTGAACCACTTTCTCAAAATCTGAAAAGCACTTTTTCTTTCTAATACATGGGAAGAGATATTTATCTAAAACGCTACATGGAGCAAAATACTATCATCCAAAGGAAAAACATGGTACAGAAAGATCAGTGGGAACTATGAAATTACAGAACTGTCTGTAAAGGATCTTGAGAGGCCATCTAGTCCATCTTTCTGTCCTAGGCAGGATCAAATTTACTTCTGTAATAGAAAAGGCAAACTGACAAAACTAAATACCACTACAATTTTAGTAATACATCAATGTATTAAATGAGGAGTAAATTTAACAGATGTACTTTGAGGAAAAGCTGTGCATAAGCAGAAGTAGAGAGACTAAATTATCTGCAACTTGTCCCCTCTCTATTTCCTGTGATTCCGGGACATGGATTATTACCTCTATATCCCAGCTGCCGGGCATTTGGACTATGTTATTTTGCTCTGCCATCATATTTTAATTGGTCACACATACACACAAAATTATAAAATTAGAAGGTCATGGGAAAAGAGACAGAGCAGCATGCTAGCCACAGCTTTTCTGTAATTAGTTAAGTCTATTTGATATTTTTTTTTCCTGAAACAGTTACCATTCCAAAAAAACAGTTAGTGAAAGAGGATTTCTTAGGCTGATCCAATATTTTATTACAGTTTTTAACAATCATGTCATGTTACATTTTAAGTATAAAACAGGCCAAGAGAATACAATGTGACTTGCGTAACCAAATCTCACAAGTGAAACATGCACTCTGAGGAACAAAAAACCAAACTGCAATTCTAAATAAAATTGAAATACTCAAAATTATAGTCTTAAAAGAACTCTGAAACACATTGTTTTCTTGACATCTGGTTTCTTGCACAATAAAAATTCATGAACGTCTGTATCTGTATCTTTGTGACAATACTGAACCACATCTCCTGCTCTGCTGAGGCCTAGCTTTTCCAGAAGATTCAGGAAGATCTAATTTCTCATAAATCCAAACACCTCATTTTTTTAAAAAAACCTATTAACTTCTCAAATAATTGAAAGATTAATGGTACCTAAAATTTAACAAATGGCATTTTTCAAACAACTACAGTTTTGCTTTACATTACCTCAGAACTGAGCCCAGTGTGGCAGGCTGAGAGTTTCTCACCTGTCTTCCCTCCATTTCAATGAGAAATCACAAGTTGGGCATAATAAGATGTCTTCTGCAGCAAGTTCACTCAAACTATACCTCACACTGACTGAAAACATGAAGTTTAATACAAAGAATAAGACTCACGGCTGACTTCTGATCATGCAAGGGAGAGAAATTCTAACTATGCATGCAGTAACAGGACAACTAGCAGTCATTTGTTTAAAAAAAGGTCAGCTTTTATTCCAAAAAAGGACAACTCAGTCCATTATTGCTCTATGGTCCAAAAGCTGAATGCAGAGTTCTAGTACTTACTAAAGCCAGAGAGTTTCTACTGCACAGAAAACCTTCATATGATAAGCAGCTGGAGTTCAAAAGCCGTGAATCCATGAGCTAGAGCCTACTAGCTAAGGTGAAGCACTGAGCTGAAACCTTAAAATCCTGAGACAAGATACAGAAACCAGTTGGGTTTTTTTTCTTAGTACTGGTTCACCTTTCTGCAAGTCCTTTCTCTGTCTCAGCACGCACACACAAGGGCTCCCTCAACGTGATGATGTGACTCAACACCAGGCTGAGTTTACCACCTCAGTGACGCAAGAACTACATTAGTTTCTAAGGTCACTTTCAGACTGGGTGAAACTGGGATCAAACAAAGGAAAATACTGGCCTGTGGATGCCTTGCATTGTTTTCATATGGGACAAGACAGCCGAGTCCCTAAAACAGGAAACGTTCCATCTGCAGTACTTCTGGTGACACTCTCTAGCTGGCATATCCCGACACAGCTGCCAAACCCAAGCTGGCTTACACAGACCTCACTGCACGTGCTTCTGCTTCCAAAATTGGCTCATGGCTATCTTCATTCATGGCATAAACATAATATTTGACATGTAAAAACAGAAGAATTGAGCTGTGAATTTTGTTCTCATACACAGGCCAAAGAGGGGCACAGTTTAAGGTGTATGGCTCACTCTGTGGTATTTCCTTCTGGTTAGCACAAGCGTCCTACCTACTCAGCACAAAGCCTTTCCTGAATTCCAGCTCCTAGCAGTCTTGCAATGAACTGAACAGGGAATTTAGGTACTTAAGACAGGGCTACAGACTATATTTTTTAGTTGAGAAACTTAAACATTCAGGCACAGTAGGGTGAATAATACAATAAGGTACTACTGCATCTAAAGGGGCTTTTGCCCCTGATAACCATGGGGTGCAAGTGAAGAACACAATCATCCAGCTAGTCTATGTCTACTCAGTTACAACACCACGTATTTTATTCTTTGCAAGGAATTTCCGTATTGTTTTTCTGGTTATAAATTAGTAACAAAGAACTATTTCTATATTAGTAAAGAGAGTACGCACTTAGTCTCAGGTATTTGAATTTTATTTGTTCCAATTTGAAAAGCTTTGACTTGCTATTTATGTCAGGAATGTACAGGTATTTGGCTCGGTTCTCAGGCAAGAGGTTCAGACATGAATTCAAAACACATAAAACAAAGAAAATCTGTCCTCATTTATAATTATAAGTACTTGTTAATGCCACTATAGTGTTACAGAACTTCTTTACACTTTGAATCAGCCTACCACAAAATACGAATACTGTGAGATTAACACAAGTGTCTGGGCCTTATACTAATATTTCCCTACCCAGAGTACTCATCTTTCAATTTCTAATCATTTTGAGCCAAATTTCAAGTAGATTTGCTTTTAAAAATCATACACAAAACACACCATACACCCTTCCTGAATGCGAAGTGGATAGTTAAACTGAATTTCTTTAAATGTCCACTTTACAGCCTTGAAGCTACTCTGCTTCAAAGACAATCCAGCACCAGTTTTAGTGAACCTGGCATGTCCAGAAAATGCATACACTTGTTCCCCCTTTTTTGCATATTTTGTTAAATAAATTAAAGTATCAAAATATCTGGGGGCAAGCTCTTAAAATATTATTTCATAGCATAACAGACATTGAAACAAACACTACTGTTTAGTTTTCTTTTGCAGACAAAATATTGGAACAAAAAAATATCCTTTTAATCTATCATTTCCCTAAAACAATCCTAAAATGTCCCGAGAATGCAGAATTCCACCAACTTCAGTGGAAGTAACAGTCCGGTATCTCTCAGAAGCACGCTCATCCATCCATTTGCTAAAAACTGAACCAGCCTCTAAATGCTGTTAGAAACAGCAGGTGTCCTTTATGACCCATTTTAAACAGCACAAATAAAAAACATTTACAAACAGGCTCTCAGTTTCGTATTCATTTTTTTGTGTAACTGCATAGAGCATAACATACATTCAAGAACAAAGATTTGATGGTGACTGAAAAAAGGTAGAGAATGA